TCACACACTCTAGATCCAGCCACTTCTGAAAAGCCCCACCTATGACCGCCTGAGGCCCTGGGGGAACAGTGAGGCATGAGCCATAACAGATAGCATTATTATAATTCACATTCAAAGGTTTTCAGAAGGTCTCAGCAACAACAGTCCGATAATACCAATGGCCCATGGATTACTTTCAAAACTGCTTTCCCGGCAATCTACGGTATATGGGTCCCGAAACAAAGATGAGAACAACCATTTCATTCAGCCATGTCTACTCTGCTACAGATGGCCTGGCTTTGCTCCACAAAGTTCTCTAATTGTGAGACTACACTCAATTTGAGGAACCAGAGGAGACACGCGTGAACCTATCTGAAATCCAGAGCCTGCTTGAATCCCCTCAGGCTGGTTGATGTCAGAGAGAAGGGAAGCTAGCAACATGAAGATCTCACCTCTCCTATTCCTCGTCACTTTATGCTGGTTTCCCTTTTTGCAGGAAAGCTCAGCAACTGACAGCAAGTATGTAAGACTTCTTGGAGGGAGGAAAATTTAAACCCATATCGTTTGTCACATGCTAAATACTGGACAGAATCAGATACTTCTCCCTCAAACACTTCCATTCTACCTCTTGGAATTATTGCAAAGCCTTGAATTCGTACATAAACAAAACATTTCTTTAGACTAAATAAATAATATGTCTTTCACGACTATGTAACTCCCTATTATTTCTAGGCTTCGGGTCTTACCCTAAATACATTTAAAATTTATTGAAAAGTTTTCCTGAATTTCATTACAGGGTTTCTTGATCAGCAAGTAAAGCATCTTTATAAGTATAGGTGGAGAAGGAAGGCTTTGCTTTGAGAAGATATTACACATTATCAAAAGGGATGGCAGTTGATACTTTAGGGAATTTTACTTTCAATCTTCAATCAACATGAATTTATAAATATAATATCTTAAAATCAGTCCAATTTGATACTGATTTCTAGAAATTAGAAGATCTTTTTCATTTACAGTTTGGATCCCTTTCCTTGAATGTGTCTCAGCAACTAAATCAAGATTGTATCTGGTGAAGTAATCATAGTTTACAAGGAACACTCTTTTTTCCTTGTCTCCTCTTGATTTTGTCTTTTCAAGAATGTAGTCTTGAAATACAGCAGTAACAAATCCTAATTCCCAGAACTCCTGAAACAAAGGTTAGACAGTGATGATCTCATTAACATATGTGTGCATCAATTCTGAATATTTCTATATCTTTTAGCATGCTCTCAGTCACAAGTCACAGAAAATTCAAAATGGCTTGAATATCAAGGATATTGGTCTGCATGGCCATAAATCCCAGGTGTGATGAACTTAAGGGAGCCATCACTGGCTGACTTGGCTGGAGCCCCCCAGAGGTGCTCTCAGTTTTGCCCCATGCAGGGATGTTCATCCCCATTCTTGGGATGGACCGGGATGGCTTCCGGTGACACTAAACCCACAATCACAAATGAGCACAGCCAAGAGGAGAAAGTAGCTTTCAGAATTCCCTATAAAAGGAAGAAAACTTCTTTATGAGTTCCTCAGCAACCCGAGATACTTTTGATCAAGTTCAGTTGCCGCCACTTGGGCATGAGTACTTAGGCAGTGGGCTGGGGAAATTGCAGCCCACTCCAGGTTTCCCCGGAAATATTTGGCTGCATAAGGAAAGGGTGATGAAGAAAAGAAAACCAGGACTTCACAGGGTGGAAAACAACATGCAATACAAGCAACTGTGAGTATCTTCTACCTTCTCCCAAATCTACCCATTTGTTTTCTATGGCGTGTTAACTAAGTTAATCCGCCCATGAAAAATAAGTGTCCCTTCTCAGTTGTCCTTAGACCAAAAGTACAAATGTTTAAATATGAAATAAATGGTCTTGAGATATAAAATCCTTCTACTGTTGGCAAGAAACCATGTCATAAGGCATGGATGATAATAAATCTTAAGTTTAATGACTGAGATATAAGTATAGGAAAACAGACTCCTGCAAATAAGCACATTTAATGATGCATATAGTCTCTTAAAAATGTAATCCTGAAGATTTCACACAAACTAACATTTTAAAATTGACATTTCTTACAAAAAGCAATCCACCTTGGGATTAGGTTTACAGGAATGCTGTAGTATTGAGATTTCTATAATGCCAGTGGCTACTATAATCCATAGATTAATTTCACCCAATGATCTGTCCAGAACCAAAATAATAAGTATTAAAAAAGAACTTCTCTGAAAATGAGATTTTACTTAGATTTGTATACTGCTAGTAATGTTTACTATAATATTAAAAATTGAAAAATGGGGGATTCCCAAAACACTAATGAAACCAAGAGGAAAATACAAACTTTGTAGAAATAATGTTTTAGACATTAATGACTTTATCAAAATAGGGTTTTTTTTTCAATTTTAGGGAGTTTTTTTAACCACTATCTTATAGTTATTCTACAAGTGCTTCTGGATATCTGTTGCAAAGCAGTAATTATGCATTCTCTAAAACTAATTTAAGGCTGAAAATTGATTATTTTAATAATTTGATTATTTGAATATTTATAGAACAGACTCTGTATATCCAGATAGAATTATAATGCCCCTGAAGAATTTAATATCTACTTGAAAAGATCTATCCAAAAACATAAAACAATTAGTAAACAGCTTAAAAGATAGCATTGAATAGACTACTAATTGGGTATCACAATACGTTGTAGAATCACACTAACATCTGTTCACTGTGTGCCTGGTAGGTTCCATAACATATCATTTAATCTCAAAACAACCCTATAAATTCCAGCCGTAAATATTTTAAAGGCAAAGAAATTAAGGCTGAGAGAAATTAACTTTCCCCAAGTAAGAAATTTGGTAAAAATCAGGATTGGGAATTAAGCACATATTATCAAATACTGTGATTTTTGACTAGTTGCTCTCATACTAATGTACTTTGCTTTAACGTAATAAACTGGATTAACTCTTTGCCGAATTAACAGCTTTTCTTACTCAAGAATAAGGAAGGCTGATTTAGGAAGGAAGGAGGACCACTCTGAGCCAAGGCTCTCAAAATGTCCACAGTGAGTCTAAAGTTTGGACAATGAAGTGAGAAAAGACTGGGCAGATCCAGTAGGGTTGGTCTGCAGAGCTTCAAAAAGGTGTTAATGTGCTTTATAGAAAAAAATCTCACTATACAGTAATTGTTAAACATCTCTTCTCCTCGCTTTCTTCCTTAGCTGCATTTTCCAACTCCAAAGCACTTGAAACAATCATCAGGGACCACCCACCACCTTTCAGATGCTTAGATTAAACTCAGAAGTGTTGAAGTTTCTTAATAGCTACAGGTTAATACTTTTCAAATCCTGGGTCAGACTACCCTACGGAGAAGGCGAGAGACACCCTGGTGACCTGGAAATCCCACAGCCCCCAGGTGGCCTCTTTGCTGCTCCTCCACATTCCACACATTTCCCAGTCAGCCCTGTAATTCTGCTGAAAGAGGGGAGCCATTAAAAAACCAGGAACACTCACGCATACGTGCTTACATGTGTGGGTAATCTCTGGAAGAAAACCAAAAATGATTGTTGTCATCATTCTTGGGAAAGGCAGGGTACTTTTCCCTATCAACTTCTTGTTCTCTTTCAATTTCGAAGGTTGCAATTTTATTACCATGTATTCAAAATTATGTATATTTGCGAGCAATTAGCTTTTTATTGAAGATGGGCACTCTTCAGATCCATGTGTAAAACACCTATGGTTTGTGGTTTGTTTTCCCTTCATCATTCTAGTTAAGATTTCTCAGTTTTGTTGCAGTCCACCAAAACTTTTGCTACCTAAAATGAGGCATAGCATTATAAATATTGCCTGATTCAAAAAAGGAGAGGAACACTGTGCTGTACGTATCTCCTAGTCACTGAAATTTCATTTATGCAGCTTCAAAGTTTAACTCCTTGCTTCAGCAGCTACAAATCTCTGTGAGCACAGTCAGCTGGAACCCCCAAAATCCTGCTAAAGTTTCATCTTATCCATTATGCACTTCCACAAATAGTGATTTTTAAAACGCATATTATTTCATATTTGTCTCTGTCTCTGTTATGACTCATTGCACTTATATCTGTCCATTATTCCAACCTGTCATAGTCAGCTTCTGGATTTAATTCTAGAACTCTCCCTTCCTGATTTCAGCCTGGCAATTTGACGTCAGTGTCAGTAGTTCTTCCCTCTGGACCAGCTGTAAACAAGCGGAAAAGAAAGAGACCTAGTTTCAGGATACTAGAGCCCTCCTTTAGCTTTCCAGATTAAAGCTTGTCTTCCAATATCTTTAGAGGATGGACAGTTACCTGTCACTGACCCACCCAATGCTATTACAAGTTTTCTTTCCTTATCTTCAAGGATACAATGAAAAGAAAACGTTGGCTCTCTTGCCAAGATTAAAATAAATTAACATGTTTGTGAATGAGCTTCATAGGACGTGGTTGGGTCATAGAGAACTGTGCACACATGAGCATATGTATACAATGCACATAAGTACATACTTTCCTTGGGATACAATGCATTGCTTTTTCTGGATTTTCAGAAAGCTTCCTAACATACAAAAGGTGAAAATAACTAAGATAGTAAATTCTGCTGATATATAATAAATGGAATAATTCTACTTTGTAGTACCTGATGATCTCTATTTATTGGGCCCCTAAGATGTGCCGGGACTGCATTAGATACTGAGGATATAGATGTCACCTGGACGGAGCTTATATTTTAAAAACACTAGGAAAACACTAGGTCATGATGACCATGCTGGTAGGAAATTGCGTAGTATATTTAACAGTGCCAAGTGCTTAATGCTGCAAACAAGGCAGAGCAAGGGAATATGAACAGGCAACGTCACTGAGATGATCTTTGTGTAAAATGATCTAAAAGAAAGAACCAAGGCAACTTGAGGGAAGAAGGTCCCAGGTAGAGAAGATGGCAAAAACACAGCAGCACCACGGCAAAGTGTTAGCTCCCAGAGCAAGCAGCAAGCCTGTCCCAGAGGCACAGGAAGCCACAGGGGAGCGACAGTGGTGCGCAAAGGACAAAGTGTGGGTGTGAAGCCCAAATCCTTCTCCACTGGAGCTTGTGTTGTCACTTTGAGGAGGATTTGAAAATGTGTGAGTATTTCTGGTTGTCCAGTGGCTACGGGGCCCTACTCACCCTGGAGACAGGCAGGGATATCAAAGTTCTTTAATCTGAGACACATTCTGCACAGAGAAAACACTGTTTATTCAAAATGCCAACACCCCCTGAATCGCTTTAGCCAATTTAGAAACTCTGGGTTTGACTTTGAATAAGATTGGAAGCCCTCAGAGGCCTTGGTGAGGAATGAATGGCCTAAGCCATAATTTTGAAGGCTCGTTACAGTGGGAGGAAAGAGAGATCAAGGCAAAAGCACAGAGATCAGTGAAGAGGCTTTCTTCACAACCCGCGCAGAGATGATGGTGGCCCAAGGGCCTTTCTTGCCAGTGGTGGGCAGTAGAGGAGACCTAGATAGAGTCTACATAAATATAAAACAGGCTCAATCAATTCTGCTGATGCATTAGAAGTGTGTGTGGGGGGAGTAGAGAATGAATTCAAGATTCTTAGCCTGAGCAATTAGAAAAGCAGAATTTCCATGGGTCATGATGGAAAACAGAGGTGAAGAAAGGATGTGCCTGGGACTGGAGGGATCCGAAGGCAGACCACAGGGGCACCACTTGGGTTAGCAGGTAGGTGTAGGTGTTTGAGGACTGCGCTGTGTGTAGACACTGCTGCAGAAGACGGAGAGCGAGTTGGATGTTGGCGCACATAAACATAGATTCCGATATGCATGGATGTGGAAGAAATCTAGAAGAGATAAAAAATGTGTGAAAGAGCTATCTAGGTTTTTAGGTCATTGATCTTTATCCCTTTTCTGATGTTTTCTGAGTTCATTCCATTAAGTCTGTCTTAATTTTAAGGAATGTAAAAACTTCTGCACAAATCCCCCAGAAAACACCACTTCTCACAGTCCCCTCGTGACAGAGCTCCAGTTGAAGTTTTCCTCTTTCCCAGCCTCCCCTTCCACTCCTCTTCTCCAGCCATTTACTCCTCGGCTACAAGTGGCTGTGCACCTAACAGCGCCACTCCTAGGGCGGTCAGATCTCAGCCTCCTCTCTTCTCCTCTCCAGGTCATTATCACCATGCAGTGCATTTTCAGCCCCAGGGCTCACTGCAAGGAGAAAAGGTGGAACTGCTTTCAGCTGATACTCCGAAAGAGCAAGCAGGGTGCATTCACCAGAGCTCTGGGGGAACTTCAGGAGGAGAGAGACGACTGTCACTCCGGTCCCCTTTCCTGGCAACGCCTCAAAGGTTGCCAACCGAGAACAGCAGTGCCTAGAGCCCTGAAAGCCAAGGAGAGAGTGAGATTTAAGACTTGAGTTGCCTGTCTCTGCTCATTATGTGTTATTTGTCAATCACGGATAAAAGGTGGTTTTTGCCTGCTAGCTGCATGCCTGGGGCACACGTATCATAGTGAAGCCACCATTTTTGTGGAGCACTGAAAAAAAAAATCAATGATTGCACTGTTCTTGAAAGGTGGGCTTTCTCTTTTCATTTTTAACCAAATGGTTTAAACTAAGGCAAATCATTGGGAGGGGGAAAAGTAAAATTTTGTCCTCATGGTAGCAGGTGTCTTAGATTTTTAATGATGCTATTAGGGCCCATATGAGCAACAATTTTCCTTCTCCTGAAAGCCAAAGAATCTGACATTTACTGGATTCCTGTAGCTTGGTGGTAAGGAGCTCTCATCCTCCATGCAAAGCTTTGCAAAGGAGCAAGAAAATGGACGCTGTCACCCAATGTGAAGGGCAGAACTTAGATAATATGTCCACTTAATGTCTACCTTTCAAACTTATCTTACAATATGAAAACATTGCTCTCATTCCAATATTGCATTCCTGTGTTACAGAAATTGTTAAACATTTTCAACCCCACGTTAGGAGCTGAGTCGCTTGTTATGGAACTCTGAAAAGAAACAAAGACACAAAGCTCCAAGATGTCTGAAGTTCACTTAAGAAGTACACATCTAGCCATATTATGCACAACTCTATAATATGTAGGAAACTTTTTAGCATCCATTTGTTTTTCTTTGTCTTTTTGTTCATTCCCTATTTGTGCTGATTTACTTATTTATTTTGCATCTATTTGGTTTTAAAGCGTGCATGTTTTGGTTTGTATAAAACCAATGGGATATAATGTAAGCAACACTTAACTTTTGTTCACATTTCTTTAGCCCGGGGAAGTGCATCATAAAATTAGCTGTTACAGCTTTTATTCTCTCATAAGCTAAACATCCCTGAAAGTCAGTAGAAGGTTAACCACTGCGTGCATCTGACAGGTGAATTAAAATGCTAACACAACGGATAATTTGCAATGGAAGAGAAGTCGCTGAGGCCACCTAAACATTTTCTCCTTTCTTCCTTTCTCAATCCATCTAGAAACCCTCCTTTGTGGCCACAGGAAGAATTCCACAGCGAGCCACGCCCCTGCGCGCTGCAGTCTACGTGGAAAGGGAGCTGACTGCATCGTTATTAACTTTACAAGACACCCGGTTCCTCACCTTCTTGTTTCCTGCTGGCAGGTGGGCATCCTGCTGTCTGGCAGGATGGAGCTGGAGTAAAGCCGCCGCGGAGAGAACTGCTGGACGCAGGAACCGCGCAGGCGTCCGGCCCAGGCTGTGCTGCCCGCGCTCCAGGTGGTTCCCATCGGAAGCCGGGCAGGGAGCAGCACAGCTGTCTGTCCCGAGGAGTGTGTTTTCAGGCCTCGCTTCGGCTGGTTCTCATTTATGCCTTAACTCACTCCAGGCTCCCTATAAGTGAACTTTGGTGAACTTGGTGGAAGCTCAACATTCATCACCAAACCCGAAATTCCTGAAGTTTGGTCCGGGATTCCATTTGAAAGTGCAGTACATGCTCCCAGCTATCATCGATTATTTGGCCCCCATATCAGTCACATGTTGTGTGGTGTGTTCCTGAATCACCAGCACGTGTGAGAGACTTGGGACTTAAGGTCCAGCACCCTGAGATGGGCTGCTTGTAGCACACCCCGGATTTCAAAGTGTGCGCCGTGAAGGAATTTCCAAGCAGAAGAAGACTGTGCTGGCCCCTGGCCACAGCATCGGTTAGTTGTTTGGAGCATTCTTCTTCTATCTCCGTTCTTCTACCTCCTTTGCAGCCCACCCTGCCAAAAGTGAGGTGCAGTCAGCCAAACCGAACACTGCTCTTCCTTCGTTCATCTCTGAGTTCTAAACTCTGCACCTTTTTTCTCTGTCCTTTTCCTCTGCCAGCCTTTCTCTTTTTGCCGTGGGCTCATCGCCACAGTAATCACAAGGCCCAGTTTACACCCTCTTCATCCTCAGGGCCTCCAGACCCTGTCAACAGGAGGTGCTCCCTCTTTCTAAGGAGTCCCATAATTCTTTGGGGCGGCCTGTTACTACGATGTGTGTACGTGTACTGTCTCCTGTGTGAAATCGTAAGAAACTGGAGGTCAGGACTAGTGGGCCTTCCCCACTCAGTAATTAGGAAGATTATGACAGTCATTAATATTTGATATGCATTGAAAGAGTACTGAGTGAATGAACGGATGTTCCTTGTATACAAACACCAACAGAGCCTCTGAACCTCACAGGAGAAGAATACAAGAAAGATCGTATTTTAGGGAGGCAACACATTTTCTGGGCTTTATTGCTCTGTGTTCTAATTATTGCCAATCTCACCCCCGCCCAGAGGGCAAGTGGCTCTTTGTCCTTGGCCACTGCTGTATTCCAGCCCCTACCATAGGAGGGGGCTCATAAAAGACTCACGAAGTGTTTGCTGAATGGATGACACAGTGAAATTTAAAATGCAGGGACTCTTTATACAGTATAAGGTTTGAACTATAAAGGGAAACTTCTTAAATGTCAGAGGAATATTAGGATATCCCCAAAAGAAAGCCTAAAGCAAAAAATTCTCAAGGCAAACCATTAAAGTTTTCCTTTGAGTTTCTCCCTGTCCTGGGCTGGGCCTCCCGGAGCTCAGGCCGACCTTGTCGCTGTGCAGCTGAAAGGCAGTGTTGCAGCCCCAGTGCTAATCTTGCAGCTGAGCCTCTCTCTCTCTCATTAGCCCACAGCAGATTGTAAACACTGATACTGCTCTGGAGAGCTCTTCCTAGCACAGTCTCTGATTTCCAGAGTAGCTCCCAAGTGAGATAAGGTCCAGACCTTTGGAGAAGAGATTAACATCAGACCCAGAGGGGATTTTTTAATCACATTAAAACAAGATAACGTGTTATCTGAGAGAAATTAATCCTCACTTCTCTGCTGTGTTATTTGTGCAACTTGACACTAGGGAATTCTTTTAACTGTTTTATCTGGCCCTCTGCATTTCATGGCTTTTATTGCCTCGACATCTAAATGTCTTTAATTTATGAGTATTCAACTGGTTCTTGATTGAAGAACTAAAAATTTTTATTATTATCTCATGCGTCATAAAATAAGTAATGCAATCAAATGACTACATTTCCAATTAGAACTCCAGGTTTATAACACGAGGAACCCCGAGCTGACAACAGAGACAAATTTATTTAGTTCTGTGCAATTCAGTATTAGCCAGAGCTAGAGAATTATACAGTGGGCTCCTTTCATTCATACCCATTGAAGAAAATTTGATGCATGTTTTAAGAAACTTAGTACAACAAGTAGTCTTGGGTTTGAAATTCTTCACATTTCCAGACAGTTTCATGATTTTTAATGGCATCATATTCTATTTTAAAATAGGATACTTCATTTATAGAAACTTCACTTTTAGAGCTATTCACACCTCCAAAAATGATTTTGAATAGTCTTCATTAATATGATATCATTGAAAGGGAAGAGGAAGTTTAGCTTTAGTTAAGAAACTATCTCATTAATAAATGTGATGAAATAAATAAGATTGAAAGGAAAAGAATTTAAGATCTTTTAATCCTTCAAATGCCTTTAACAAAGCAGTGAGCATTATTCATATACTGACTATATAGCTAGGACATGTCTCTCAATGACTAATACAAAAGGAAGCAGCCAAAATACTTTATATAAAGTTATATGCAAGCTATTGTTAGTGAATTGCTAATTATTTGTACTTACTGATCATATATAATGCTAGTTCTAAAAGATCTCCTTTAATTTGTCTTGTTACTTTGCATTATAATATCAGCAATCAAATTTCAATAAAATGTTTAAAAAGCACATCAATATCTCACTTAAACTCCAGTTTCTTAATAAAATCAAGCACCAACAATTGAGATCTAGAATTTATTTTATCTAAAATGTCAGGTGACCCAGTGCTCTGATGACAAAGTACTCCTGGATGTCATTTCTTTTTTTTTAATTTTCTGAGACAGGGTCTCACTATGTAGTTGAGTTGAGATTGATCTGGAACTCACTATGTAGCCCAGGCTGGTGACGAACTCACGATCCTCCTGCCTCATCCTCCTGAGTGCTAGGATTACAGGCGTGCGCCACCATGCCCGGCTCTCCTGGATGACATTCTAAGCCTCACACGCAAACTATAATTATCTACATAATTGCACTTCTCAGTTGGGCCAGTTCAGTCCAGTGGTTTCCGGATTTTGATAAGGGAAGGCTTCTCTCATATTTTATGTATTTAGAGCACAGAGTGACTGCCTCAGTGATGAGCTCAATTCTAGGTTCTCAAGGGTTACATTAGGCAACTCATGACAGCCTCAAAAATCATCATATCTTCTCTCTCCTCACTTGCTTACAGAAATGCTATAATTAGGCCAAATGTATGCTGTCTAGCATTTTCTGTTTTGGAGAATCAACATGAGCTTATGAGGTGAGCAGAACAGCCTGTTCCCCTCATTTGGAGTCCCAGCAGTCTGGGGCACAGAGACTCACGTTGCCCAGCGCTGCACAGTTGGTAAGCAGAAGCCCCCAGGAGTAGACTGGAAGAAGCTAGCTGTTGGGCGTGTGTGTCAGCAAAAGTGAATGAGGCGTTAGTGCATTCATGTCGCCTTGCACACTTGCTTCACTTCCCACCCTCTTCATAGATCCCTGACTTGGTTTCCTATGGGTCATCCTCATTGGTCCCAACTCTGCTTGAGATAGTATTGTAGACAGCAAAGTCAAGGAGAAATATTCCAGGCAGTCGGGCAGGGATGGGCCCTTGAGGAAGCCCATGCAGAGAGGATGAGAACACATCACAACTGTGGCTGGAGGCACGTCTGTTGGAGGCCAGGCCTTCAGATCCTGGTGGGATGACAAGGCCTGCATGCCTCCCCAAGGGCTAAGCAATACCTTGAGGATGTACTGTAATTGGTATCACCTGGTCCAATAAAGTGATAGCCATCAGTCACCTGGGTGGGTTACCAGAACCTCTGGACCCATCCCTTCTGAAAAGTGCCTTTGTTCTTTCTGTGTACCCCTGCTGTGTGACCTGCTTCCCTATTGGGTCACTATTACCTAAGTGGCTATACTTATAATCTTACTGGTTGATCATAGTTTGACTCATGTGATGTTGCTCTATAAAACATTCTCAGAGAAGCGGGCTCTGAGGCAACCCCACTTTCGGACCCCTCCTGTCTGTCTGGAGCTATCTCTCAATACATTTTACCTACTTTTAACCTCCATTGCTCCTTAGAATTTATTCTTTGATTTTGGGAATGGGAAATCACCCTATCTGACATCTAGCAGGTTGGGAAGTAGATTTTTCCCCCTGTATCAATAGTAGGTCTTCCATACATATCTACTTATTAGAGTCAGATTTCTATTTTCTGTTTCCCTTGGATTCAAGCTGCTATTATTACACAGTTACTTTTAAAATGTCAAGCATCTCCAAATTTCCCTTCCTTTCAAAGCAGCCTGTACCTGACAGAAATCAGAAAACCAGAAATAAAGTTCAGCCAGGTCAAAAACCTTTTTCCCAGGAAGATGCTTGTTTTGTATACAGTCATTCGACAAACACTCACTTGACTCTTCTTCCAAATCCATTTTGTAGTCAATTCTTGTCTCCCATCCAAGTACTAATGAGGCCCGATCCTGCTTGGCTTCCAAGATCAGATGAGATCGGGCACGTTCAGGGGGGATATGGCCATAGACTGTAGTGGATTTCTGTCCAGGTATTTATTTATTTGTTACAGTGCTGAGCTTGGAGCCCAAGGCCTTGTGCATACCAGGAAAGGATTCTACCACTGAGCTACCTCCAGTCCCTACATCTAAAATTTGGAGACCCATCAAAGTATAACATACTTTAAGACTAAGTCTGTGCTCTGCACTGTTTGGCTTCCCACCCCTTGCGCTCCATTTCTAGAATATTAGTAGGCACCACAGAAAGAGTGCATTGCTGTCTTCCAGATCAGCAGCTCAGACTTACAGGAAAAGAGCCCACCCAGCAGGTTTTTAAATGCCTCGTTGTCTAACCCTCCAGGTATTGCTGCTATCTTCCCTTTTTACAAATGACATGGCTCATCAGACCACCAGGTAAAAAGCCCCAGGTCAGCAATCCAGCAGCACAGCACACAATGGCCCTGAAACCTCTCCTTTCCAAAGCCCTTGTTGTTTATTCTTGCTCAGCAAAACGCAACTTTTGAACAATTCACATTATTGATACCACAGGGCTCATGAGTTCAGATTCAGCTTGATACAGAAAAATGCAAATTGGCTTTCCAGGCTAAGAAAAGCAAAGTAAGTGACATTTCTTTAGCAATCTGTACCTCACCCCGTGCTCCGTGCTCCGAAGACTTCTGGCTCAGTTGCTGGTCACATGTCAACAAGTGGGCTGTTTGTGGTTTTTTAAAACCAGGAGTCACGTGATCCAAAGGCATTGTCTCTAGCCATTTTCTGGAGTGAGCCAGAACACTGGGGTCCCTTCCTAAATACAAATCTGAGCAGAGGTCAAAGTGGCAGGCGCAGTGTTTCTGAGTGGGCTGTGGTGATTTAAATGCCTCATTCCCTGGAACTCAGAGAGGTGACTGAACAGGGAGGAAGCGGGAAGTGAGAGTGTCGGGCTGAGCTGCGTGACCCTCTCTGTCCTCCAGTCCCAATCCTGAGCCTCCTCAGGGGCCCATGAATGTGCAAGCAGAGCTGGGAGCCCCGGGTCTTCCTGGGAGATTTCTCTGAAAGGAGAAGGAAGTCAGGCCAGGAGTGGGGAGATGTGATGAAAAATTTTGCTTTTTATTATCTTCCACAGAAAAATATTTTTAAGTACTGAGTAAAACTATAGGTGTCTGTTATGGCCTTTATTATTAAGAAACGGGAAGTTGGTTTTCAACCAGCTTCGTACATTGGAGGGTGCTCGGGCAGCAGAAACAGGGAAAGACCGAGCTGATCCTACCGCACTGGGTTACCTCAGTTCTGGGCACTCCTTATTTACAGCTGGAGAGAGCAGGGAGGGTGAGGAAGGGGAGAGAGAGAGGGAGAGAGGAGGGGGGAGGGAAAGAACCAGAGAGAGAGAGAGAGAGGGAGAGAGAGAGGGAGGAAAGAGAGAAAGAAAACATCCTTATAGGACCCCCGAAATCTGGCATATAGTCACTCCAGCAATGTAACCAAATTTTCTCATGAAAAAGAAAAACATTTTATTCTAAAATTTTAATTCTTAAATTGTATCCTGAGTCATTTTTGTTTGCAATAAATAGTATATCATTCAGTAAGCACTCAGAAATGCTCATTATACTTCCACTTAGAATTTAGTTCATCAGCTCCAAGAGATGCAGTTACATAAAAACCCTAAGGCATGACTTTTAATCTTGCTTAATAGTCAAGGAAGGGATTTCACTGATTATTATTAATATTCCTTGAAAAACATAATGTTTTGTTTGGGCCAAGAGCATTTTATAGATTCATTGTGTACCATAAACACTCTGGAAATGTTCAAATTAGTTTAGACCTTTTATCAATGAGGTTAAGATTGCTGTTAAAGCCAACATTTATAACAAACGTAGCAGGATCACATTAAGAAGGCATCTGAAGACTCTGCCTGTGTGAAAAGCACAGAAGGTTATGGGAGTAAGAAAGTTCACATGCTGTGAACTCTGAAACTATGTTTCAAGGGACATACAGCACCAATTTCAGTTCGAAAGGATCCAGAAGTTACTGATATTTACTCATTTCCATTACATAATGAACAAATTGTTTCATTCTCTGTGAAAGCTGCCTCCTAAGTTGTATGAGTCTGAAGTGTCCCCCAGCCACAGCTCTCCATGTGTACCCACTCAAGGGACTCCACCTACAGCCTTTGCGGTGACACAAGGCTTCCGGGGACTTAGGCCGTGGGTGCAGGTGGGATACCGTAATCCTCCGCATTGTCCTGGTGTGTCCATACCCACGGCATCGCCCTGGCAAGGAAGATGTTTTACTCAATGGTAAGAATTTGACTCAGAAACATTGTAGAAAAATCTTTGATTTGGGTGAAAGTTTGTAGTAAATGACACTATTGTGAAAATGGGGGTTTCACTATATTTTAGATATATTATCAAGAGAAAATGCTGAGAACACGTGGTACAGTTTCTTTAAGTTTTTGTTTGGTAAACCCTTATAGCTGAACTCTCAAATACAGGGTTTGAGGCACAAATAGTTGAGCAATTCATAATTTTTAAGATTTTGTTCTAAAAACTCAATAGAATTTAAAGTTGTGTACGTTTAAATCTTGATCTTTGGACCACACCAGGGTGTGTGGTTTACTCCTTCTCTGACCAAACTGACCGGAAACAGAGGAATGGACGGAGCTATCTGATGGGCAAGGAAGCAAGAGGCACCGGGCAGGGAAGCTAAGGTTCAGGTAATAGGAGAAAAAAGAGGGGAGAGCAGCAAGCTGTAAAATGTTGGGGTGACCAGATGAAGGGAGAGGGATTACAAACCCACCATGAGGCAGGCTAGGGTGAGTTCACTATCACTACTGAATCAGAAGCAGGGGAATCAAACATTCTGTAGAACTGGGTTGCATCGGGAAGGATACTCCTGTCCATATTCCAAGACCAATTCCAGTGTTCCTGTGCAGCAGATTGAACCCAGACTCTGCACTGACTCTTTGCTACAGATCTAATGTTTTTTTTAATTTTTCTAATTTTTTTTTAATATTTTGACTTAGAAGAGCTAAGTTACTAAGCTGCCCTTTGGGTTCATACTGGTATCCTCCTGCCTCAGCCTCTCAGGGACCTGGGATAACAAGTATGTGGCTGCCATGGGAGGTTTTCATGAAATAATCATTTGGCTCAGTCTAGCTTTTTTTTAAGAACCATTACTCCATGACTTCTTTGAACAATAGTTGTATATTTTGCAGTTCTGGGGCAGGTAGTTTGAAAGAGGAGCAAATAAAGGATTTGATAACAGAGTAGACCAAGTATAATGTTATTCCATGTAAGCATCTGTTCTTTTAAGAACAGGAAAATAGTCAGGTGTGATGGCATATACCAGTAATACCAGCACTCGGGAGGCTGAGGAAGAAGGATGGATGGCTATGAGTTCAAGGCCAGCCTAAACTACACAGTGAGAACCTTACAAAAACAACAAACAAAACAAACAAAAAAAACCTTCTTGTATTTCTTTTTTGATTATTTCAATATTACCAAACTGACTGCTTATAAAAATGTTGGGTAGTAACATTTAGAAATTAACTATAATCTGGTTTAGTAGTTTAAGCAACACTTAATGCTGCATACCAACACTGTGCTTATAACAAATCATTAAACACAGAATTGCTAAAGACTTCACAACCCAGTGAACACACAAACACTACTGGATAACTTAATCCTTTCTTCAGTTCAATAGTAATCATTCTCTTTGGGCCAGTATATTTTCTTTTTTAATAAGGTCATTTTTCCTGGTGGTATTTTTGGTACTGGGCATAGAACTCAGGACCTTGCACTTGCAAGGCAGGTGGTGGAACCACTGAGCTAAATCCCTGGCCCAGCATACCACTTCTAATCACTTGCTATATTTCTTATTTGACTTAAAGTAAAAAAGGTGTAAGAGGCCTTAGTTTTCCTGACTTCAGTACATTTACAGTCTTACTCCTGGACTGCCATTTATAGGAATGTCTTCATAATATTGCTAGAAATTTAGATATCCTTCATATTTTATCATGTGTATATATGTCACTTGGAAATGCTCAGGATAGAATAGGCTGCTGATTTTTCACAGGGAAACTTTACAATACATTACTAACAATGCTTTAGAGAAAGGTTAAACTCCTAGCACTCAAATGTCAGCTTTGCTTTTTTTTTTTTTTTTTTTTTTTTTTTTT